GAACAGGGTAAGCATAGTCCAAAAGCCAAGCCACAGAGACAAATCAAAAACTGAGGGTGTGTGAAGTGTAACGCCTATGTCGAGTAATCGGAGTCAAGCCAAAACGCAACAGTAACTGTCAGCGTAGCATTCCATAGTTACTGACATAAAGCGGCGCTATGTTGAACTATGTTTGATATCAGTAGTTAACAGAGCTCGATACATGCGATATCAGTGGCTACTGTTGGCATGTACGATATGTTAGCTCGTGAAGGCGGAGCATCGGTCAGGGGTTTAAATAAGGGAAGAAAGTAATCACCGGGATGCACCTCATCTGTGTGCGTTGACAACCAGTTACTAATTACTGGAATGCAACACAGCTGAGGTGCAGAGCCCACAAAACGGAGAAAACAAAGAGACAAAAAGGAGGAGAGGCAGCGGCCGCCGAGCGGCCCTGACAACTTTGCGTGTCCGCCCTCGGAGCGAGACTGGAAAAGCAGGAAAAGGACGAGCTGGGGGCAAGAGTGTGTGAGCAGGTTCATCTTGAAAGTCATTCATATGACCCTACTGTATACAGACATCTATGACTTGGCGTGCTGGCTGGGTAGAAAGCTAGCTACAACATAATTTGTCTGACACACGCATTCATTCAGCTTCATTCAGCTGTTCTGTAGGTGTGATGTCTGCTGGCTAGCTAGCCTAAATAGCTACAGAAAGTATTTCCTGTACATTACTTATTCCACTGCTACTCCAGTAGTGTAAATTGTGTTTTTTCAGCAGAAACACCTGTGACTTAGGAGAATACTGCAGTGAATCAAGTGCGAGCATAAACAGTTTTGTCTCTCTGTCGAAATCACAGTTCACACATTCAATTTCCAATGCGTCAAAGTGATGGCAGCTTCAGGAGGGGCCACAGGATTCAGCTGAACTGAAATTTGAATGCAAGCAGACAGTAACTAGCTACATTTGAAAAGACAAAACTGCTTTAATACACCGTCTGATTTTTACATCACCTTTATTAGTGTGAAATGCTAATAAAACACTATGATCATCTGCTGGCTGACCAATGACCATGTATAGAGAATCTGAAGTTGTTTTCACAGTCCCATCTGAAAATTGTTGGGCTAAGTTGTGAACTGTTTGAGGTTCTCAAAGTGTTTGCACAACGCAGTCCCTGCCTACAAATAGTTGTAAAGTGGAAGAAACAACTATAAAAAGGGAATAGAGGTGCTCTTCACTCACCTTTCAAGATAACGGGTATTTGATTTTTATTCTTTCAAGCATGTAAAGACAGTCGACATGTCAACACACATATTTTCACACATACAGTATCCACAAATGCTTATGCATTTTCAATTTGCTTATACCTAGTACATGCTTGAACGGGGTAGGAAGAAGTTAGACTTATCTAGTCCTACCCCATAACATCATCTTACCAACATTGGTTTGCAAGCAGTATCTCTACATAGATAATTTTGTTCTACACCACACAAGTAATCTACTAAAAGATTATTACAGATTGTTAACATTCTTACATAATTACATTCTTAGATAATTATCTTCTACACCACACAAGTAATATTCTCAAGAATTATTACATAGTGTTAACATTCTTACACTACACCCACAATGTTCCACCTAATTAATCATTAAACCTGTTCTTGCATATATCTTGATTGACACATACCTTTATACTTATGTTTAAACACATCAATTCTATTACTATTTTTTATGTCCACACTTAAATTATTCCATAGTTTTACCCCACTTATGGAAATACAGAATCTTTTTTTGGTTGTACGTATAGCATGAATTTTAAAATTTAACTGACCCCTTAAATTATATCCCCCTTCCCTTTCATTAAATAGTTTTTGAATTCCACCAGGTAATAAATTGTTCCTGGCTTTATACATAAACACAGCAGTCTTGTATCCCACTAAATCAAAAAATTTTAACAATTTAGACTGAATGAAAGAAATATATTATCTATTAGTGTTGCATGCTGGGTTGTTAATCTACTTGGTTTTGTAATTTTTGGGTATAGACTGCATCTATATAATGTATTAATAAACTCTGTGCTTGTTAGGATTTAACAAATCTATATTGAAGTCACCACATATGAACATTAATTTATGACTTATTGTCGTATAATTCTCCTCCATCCAGTCATTAATTTTTCTATGCTGGCACCAGGTGCTCTATAAATACAGCTTATGACAACATTTTTCTTTTTTCCCATCGCAGTAAATTTATTGTTGACTGTAGTTTTCCCCTCTCAGAGGGCAGGACATAGACAGAGGGAATGTTGAAGATTCATGCAGCAGTGTGTCATTAACACATAGAGCCAGATTTGGTCTGAACAAACTGCCTGCAGGTAAGTGTCACTTATATCAGCTGCTTTGCTTTGCTACTCCATATAAGGAACACTGACATCTCCAGGAATAATTCTATGCATATTCTTCACAGCAAAATGTATCATCCAATATGGCTTATAAGGCCCATGACATACCGTTTCGTTACAATCGCAACAGCTTGACTGCCTGTTTTGTATCAGTAAATTTATGTTGCTGTAAGACAACATTGTACAGTTATTTTGGGTAAGATTCCATTAAAATGTTATTTTAAATACTTGCAAATTAATTTCTTAAAAATCCCTAAAATAATTTGATAAATAAATCAGGGTTTTGTGTGCTGGCATTACAACACACATTCTACCCCACCTGCTTGACCATCACATTAGCTTTACTTCCCCTGCTTGCATTAATACAGTGGGTACGAAAAGTATTCAGACCCCCTTAAATTTTTCACTCTTTGTTATATTGCAGCCATATGCTAAAATCATGTAAGTTCATTTTTTTCCTCATTAATGTACACACAGCACCCCATATTGACAGAAAAACACAGAATTTTTGACATTTTTGCAGATTTATTAAAAAAGAAAAACTGAAATATCACATGGTCATAAGTATTCAGACCCTTTGCTCAGTATTTAGTAGAAGCACCCTTTTGAGCTAATACAGCTATGAGTCTTTTTGGGAATGATGCAACAAGTTGTTCGCCCCTGCATTTGGGGATCCTCTGCCATTCCTCCTTGCAGATCCTCTCCAGTTCTGTCAGGTGGGATGGTAAAC